AAACAAACAAACAAACAAACAAACAAGTCTGGCAGTGTATAGTTCCATGTTCTAGCGATAGATTCGTTAGATTTTGCTCATCCTATCTATGAGGCCAGCCGCGAGGTTGGAGACTTACCCTCTCTCTCTCTCTCTCTCTCTCTCTCTCTCTGACCACCACCGCCGAATTGCCCGAAGAAGAAGGAGAAGAAAGAGAAGAAGAAGAAGAAGAAGAAGAAGAAGAAAAAGAAGAAGGGGGAAAAAAAACAGCAATGAAGAAGAAGAAGGGGGGGAAAAAACCATGGCTACGATCCGGACGTCCGGACCGCCGTCCAGACAGTCTGGATTCGGTCCGGACTCCGGACGTCCGGTCCAGACGGTCCGGATCTGCCAAATTTCGAGAAAAAATAAAATAAAAAAAATGGTCCAGGACCCTTCCCCATTGAGGAGCCAAGCCCCCAAAATTGTTTTGGGGGTTTTTCAGGCCCGTTTATGCTTTTGGGGGGGGTCCGGACATGCTCTCTCTCTATAATAATTTATTAGGCAACCCCAAGTTTTTGATTATGAATAATTCATTACCTTTTATTAGTTTTTTAAACTTTTTTAAGTCTTTTTTAAAGCTTTTTATAGTTTTTGACTTTTAACTCGAGTTTGGTTAGGAATTCTGACATGACTCTGAGGCAAAAGTGGTTTGCATTGTTATTCTGCATAACATACTTTTTTTTCAGATTTTTTTTTTTTTTTTTTTTTAATGGTCTGGACATTTTCGGACCTGTTCAGACATCCGGACCGTCCGGATCCCCCCATGTCCGGAGGTCCGGAAATGTCCGGAATTCCGGACGTCCGGAAACTACCGGACATGGGTCCGGTTCCATGTCTGGAAATGTCCGGGTCCGGGTCCGGCGTAGCCATGAAAAAAACAGCAAGGAAGAAGAAGAAGAGAAAAAAAAAAAACAGCAAAGAAGAAGGTTCTCCCTGTGTAAAATTTTTAAAATGATTACCATATCGTTCATGAAAAAAATGGGGAAAAAAAAATACTGCTTTTCTAAGTTTTCTTTTATTTATTTTTATTTTTTTCTTTTTAACCGGTTTTCATTTTTCATTTTTTAAAATTCGTGAATGAAGTCAAATTCAAAAAAAAAAAAACATGTGG